AGTGTCTTGGAAAAGTATTCATACCCCTTGAAATTTTCCACATTTTGTTATGTTACAACCAAAAACATTAATGTATTGTATTGGGATTTGATGTGATAGACCAACACAAAGTGGCACATAATTGTGAAGTGGAAGGAAAATGAGAAATGGTTTTGAAAATGTTTTATAATAAAATATGTGAAAAGTGTGGCAACATTTGTATTCAGCCCCCCGGAATCAATACTTTGTAGCACCCCCTTTCACTGCAATTCTAGCTGCAAGTCATTTTGGGGATGTCTCTACCAGCTTTGCACATCTAGAGAGGGACATTTCTGCCCATTCTTCTTTGCAGAATTGCTCAATCTCTTTCAGATTGGATGGAGAGCATCTGGGAACAGCAATTTTCAAGTCTTGTCACAGATTCTCCATTGGATTCAGGTCTGGACTGTGACTGGGTCATTCTAACACATGAATATGCTTTGATCTAAACCATTCCATTGTAGCTCTGGCTGGATGTTTCGGGTCATTGTCCTGCTGGAAGGGATACCTCCACCCCTTTTGCAGACTCTTAACAAGTTTTCTCTTACGTTTGCCCTGTATTTGGTTCATCCATCTTCCCATCAACTCTGACCAGCTTTCCTGTCCGTGTTGAAGAACAGCATTCCTACATGATGCTGCCACCACCATGTTTCACAGTGGGGATGGTATGTTCAGGCTGATGTGCAGTGTTCGTTTTCCACTACACATAGCGTTTTTATTTTAGGCCAAAAAGTTCAATTTTGGTCTCATCTGACCAGAGCCCCTTCTTCCACATGTTTGCTGTGTCCCCCACATGGCTTCTCACAAACTGCAAATGGGACTTCTTATGGCTTTCTTCTTGCCACTCTTCCATAAAGGCCAGATTTGTGGACTGTACGACTAATAGTTGTCCTGTGGACAGATTCTTCCACCTGAGCTGTGGATATCTGCAGCTCCTCCAGAGTTCCCATGGGCCTCTTGGCTGCTTCTCTGATTAATACTGTCCTTGCCCGGCCTGTCAGTTTAGGTGGATGGCCATGTCTTGGTAGGTTTGCAGTTGTGCCATACTCTTTCCATTTTCGGATAATGGATTGAACAGTGCTCTGTGAGATGTTCAAAGCTTGGGATATTTTTTTATAACCTAACCTTCTTTACATTTCTCCACAACTTTAGCCCTGACCTGTCTGGTGTGTTCCTTGGCCTTCATGCTGCTGTTTGTTCACTAATGTTCTCTAACAAACCTCTGAGGGCTTCACAGAACAGCTGTATTTATACTGAGATTACATGACACACAGGTGAACTCTATTTACTAATTAGGTGACTTCTGAAGGCAATTGGTTCCACTAGATTTTTGTTAGGGGTATCAGAGTAAAGGGGGCTGAATACAAATTTATGCCACACTTTTCTGATATTTGTCAAAAAATTTGAAAACCATTACACTTCACAATTATGTTCCACTTTTGTGTTGGTCTATCACATAAAATACACTTATGTTTTTGGTTGTAACATGACAAAATGTGGAAAATTTCAAGGAGTATGAATACTTTTTCAAGCCGCTGTAATGTGTCTGTAAATCAAAAAAATTAAAAATTGTTGGATTTTCTCACTCTTAACCAGGTTACTGGTGGTTGCCGTATGTCAATATTAACCTGTGATAGAGTGACAACGCTATTTAGAGGCTCGTAGAACAGTGGTACCATTGTCAGCTCTTCATGCACTGTGGAATGAAGCATTATGAGCTCACACGGTCCCGTTGTCATTGGATTGTATCATAGGCTGGGTAGCCCATATGTTCTTTATTGACGGTGACTCCTGTAGCGAACCCCAGTAGTAGCACATCATGGTGAGATGTCGGCAGAAGAGGCTGAGCTCTGCTGATGGTCTGTGCCCACAGCCCTTGCAGCTCCCAACTCCTAATAAATGACATGTGACTGCTGGGAAAACAGGTGAAAATCAAGTATTACCATCTTTCCCCCTCCCTCTACCAGCATTTTCATTACATACCTTATTTTAGACATGGCAGCATCATCACTGGGTCTCTTCACTTCTCTAGCAAAGCAGGCAGATTATGGCTGGTGGAAGGGACTGGCAAAATGCTGTACATCTTCCTAAAAAAACATCTTGGCCCCCTCAGCTCTGATGCCAACAGTGGACTGGTGTTTGGGAGAATTTATGCAAATCTCAAAATGCTTTCCTGAGCAAGGGTCAATCTTTTTACTTTCATGGCTGGCATGATGATCCAATGGCTTCAGTCATTTTCTCAGTCCCTGACTTGGAACTAATATGCTGCTTAGGAGCTCTGAGTTTCCTTTTCGGCTATTCCAGGTCAGTATCTGGAAATGTAGAATACAGCAAGTCAACTAAAATTTGTAGATGGATTTGATTGGCTGGGCAGGAACTGCAGTTTAGACTAATGCCGGCCATAGACTGTTCGAAAATCGGCCGATTTTTCGGCCGGAAAAAAAAAATCAGCCTATTTTCGCACTTATTGGTTGGCCGGTTTTCGGGTTTTTTGCACTTTGAGATTGTCGGTCATGTTGGAAAATTCTCAGTCGATTTGGGCGATCGGCTGATTTTCCCGGCAATGATGGCCAAATCGACTGATCGTTTTAACGATAAAAAATCGGCGCATGAGCCGTGACCTGCAAGGGACATAAGTTACGGGGTGAACTTTATGATTTAGTCGGACGATTTTTTTTAAACCGTTGGTGGTAACAGCGGCCGAATGAACGACTGATTTTTCGTTTATCATTCGAAAAATCGACCGATGTTCAACCCATCTATAGCCTGCATAAGGAGGGTTTGTAGAAAATATCGTTGTGCTTTCAGTCCTGTAATGAAGAACATCATGGAGTCTAGGTTCTCACCTAAGTTTTCTTCCTGCAGCGTTTTGCAGAAACGCAGTACAGTCCATTTAACGTGGTTTCCTATGGGGCAGGTTCACATCTCCGCGTTTTCCCCCAGTGTGTTTTTTAAAAAGGGTCAGGGACTTTTTTTAAATACAAAATGTTACGCTTTAGGTTCTATAGACTTCAATGGAGATGCTGCAGAAAAGCATGTAGTGCATTTTTTGATGCATTTTGCATTTTAATCTGCCTAGCAACAAACAAGAAACAAAAATGCAAAACGCATCAAAAACACGTGCAAAAAGCACTGCAGAAATGGATCAAACGCAAACTGCAAGTGTGGACCTAGCCTTAGAGCTTTCACGAGCCCAGAAAATAATTTAACAAAGGAATCCGGAAGATTAACAAGCATATTAAAAATTCATGTGTATAAATCTTCTATATTAGTCGCCAAGAGGCAGAAAATTATTTTAGAATAATAAAAAGAACAGACTGAGTTTTTGGAACAACATTGAAAGGGAACAACTTGAACAAGCAATTCTGTTGGAAAAGTACAGGCTGGGAAGTACCAAACTCATGTGGAGCTTTTAACCGAGTCATGGAAAGATCTCTCCTGCAGAGCTACCAATGGAAAATACTATGAAAATACATGCCAGCTGGATAAAGTCGTGGCTGTAACTCGCCAGAGGAAGTTGAAGGTTTAAAGATGGACTCCAGGAAAAAGAAAAAGTCCCATGAGGTGTATGCCACCTCCTGGAACTCTCTCTTCTCCAATTTACTGTTTCATTGAGTGATGATAGTATAGTGTAGCGTCATCATCACCTATTACTGGTGGTCGGTATAGAAATCAGTTGGAGAGATAATATCCACTCTTCATCTGTTACAATTTTGCTGATTCAGATTTTTCTTTCAAATTCAGAACAAATACTAGTTTTACTTTCGTAAAAGTGGTAAACTTCCCCGATACAAAAACTTAAAGCGGTAGTAAACTCTAAGGAATTTTTCTTTAAAGGGGCCCCTGCAGGTTAATGTACCGTATTACTAGCACGTTACAACAGACTTCTCTTTCTAAGGGAGCCCTCCAGCACTGTCACCGCTCCCGATGCTTGTCTCTTCACCCGATCTTTTTTCCTGGTTTGCACTCTCCGGTTGTTTGAATGGCCGGGCTGCAATGACGTCACTGTTGCGGCACTGCGCTCTCTGAGCACGCTCAGTGTATACTGAATGCAGAGTGCCTGTGCATGCACAGTGATATCATCTGCTTGAGCTGTGAACTATGTGACTATCTCCTAGACCGTGGAAGTTTAGATGATAGGTCTTACTTGTAGGCATGGCAACTATCACCTAAACTTCCATGGTCTAGAACAGGGGGTGTCAAACTGGCAGCCCTCCAGCTGTTGCCAAACTACAAGTCCTATGAGGCATTGCAAGATTGACAGTTACAAGCATGACCCAAAGGCAGAGGCATGATGGGACTTGTAGATTTGCAACAGCTGGAGGGCTGCCAGTTTGACACCCCCGTCCTAGACAGTGGAAGTTTAGGTAACAGTTGCCATGCCTACAGGTAAGACCTATCACCTAAACTTCCACTGTCTAGGATGGGGGTGTAAAACTGGTGGCCCTCCAGCTGTTGCGAATCTACAAGTCCCATCATGCCTCTACCTTTGGGAGTCATGCTTGTAACTGTCAGTCTTGCAATGCCTCATGGAACTTGTAGTTTGGCAACAGCTGGAGGGCTGCCAGTTTGACACCTCTGTCCTAGACAGTGGTAGTTTAGGTGATAGGTTTTACCTGTAGGCATGGCAACTATCACCCATACTTGCCTGTAAAAGTTGTAAGTTGGAGTGTACTACCTCTTTAGATCTGCCTATAAGACTCCTAGTGCCCTTCAGTGGCCAGTTAGCTGTCTCATTGGACAAAGATGCTAGGTGTGTAGCTTTGTGGGCTCACGACTACCAAAGTAAATTCACGATCAGACATGGGCTCAGAAAAGGCTTTTTTGACTGTGTTAAAAATCATTCAACTTGTAAATGGAACAGCGCCCCCCACTGGCCACTTTCTACATAAGTCAGATGTGAGGTTTATGATACAATAGAGTTCATTACAGCTGTGAGGTGTTTTTTGTTGTTAAGGTAACATCTGACTCCTCTTGTTTTGATGCAGGGTTATACGTCCTTCTGGAATGACTGCATATCTTCTGGATTGCGTGGAGGCATTTTAATCGAGCTGTCCCTGAGGGGTCGTGTTGTCTTGGAGCCAGCCACACTAAGGAAGAAGCGGCTTCTGGATAGAAGGGTAACTGTCTAACTGCTTCTGATCTTTTTTTAATTGCAGCAATCTCCTGCTTTCCTGAGTCGGCCAATATTCAATAGTGCTTAAGGTGTAAATGAAGAAATGCCATGTGTATAATTTAATAACACGGGGCATGGCCTATTCTGATAATTCTGTGACTACTGACATTAGAAAAACATATTATGGCTGCCATTAGTCACTTACTGATCCTGCCTAACGTGTATAAAAAAAAGCTGTATACTTATTTTTAATCTTTTTCTTAATCTGGGCACATAATCCTGCAGCTCCAGCTCCCCTGTGTCGGTGAGTGGCTGCTGCTGGGGAGAAGAGTAAGTGCCTACAATGGTTGAGCTATGAGAACCTATAGGTGACGTCATGGCTCATGCAGAGCTGTTGCTGAGTGCTTCCTTATGTAGAGCTGCAGGATCAGGTGATTAGACAGGATTGAAAATAAATAGGTATATAGATTTTTATACAGGTTAGGCAGGGTAGGTAAGGGGAGGGGGAGGAACATTTTAAAAATTAGATATAGTTTTGGGGTTCTCCACTTTAAGGTCACAAAAGTCTTGACTTGCAGAATACTCTGACTTAAAGCAGTCCTATGCAGAAAAAGTGAATATTGACTGTGATATAGCGAAGATTCAGAAAGGTTAATTTTGCATCGACATTACCCTGAAAAGTGTACCCTTTTGCCTTGAATTCTCCATAAAAATAGCAGTGCACCTCCTGACATCTGACTGTTCTGTAGCCTTATAGCTTTGTATCTGCAGCGTGAGATCACAAAGGCATTGCTGCTCCTTCTATTCTCACGAGATATGGAGTGAGATTTGGTGATGTCACTACTGTGCTGCTCAGTGTTCTCCTTGCAGGAGAGGAAGCTGTGCCTTAGAATCTGCAGTGCAAGGATCTCCATGCTTCTACCTCATCTGTTCTGTGGATCTGTACTTACGTCCACCTCTTCTGCTGCTAGTTTTTGGAGTCTTAAAGTGGTCATAAGAGGATAGAACTATAGAAACTGCCATTACTGGATTTATGCACAAAAAAAGTGTTTTTTTTTTTCATACTAGTTATTACACATGCAAAGCTTTAATAGTTGTGATCCCTTTGAATAGATGTAGAGGAATATTTGAGTAAAATTCTGAAAGATAAAAGGAGAATATGGCAATTATCCAACTGAATAACCGTTGTCATAGTGGTTCCATCCACTGACACCAACAATTGGACATATGTCCTCCCACTAACACCAATAAAGGGGCACAATTCACCTCAAGGACAGTAGTAGTGGGGCACAATTCCCCCCCAATGGCACCAGCACTGGGGCACAATTCCCCCCAAGGACACTCGCAGTGGGGCACAATTCCCCCCAAGGACACTCGCAGTGGGGCACAATTCCCCCCAAGGACACTCGCAGTGGGGCACAATTCCCCCCAAGGACACTCGCAGTGGGGCACAATTCCCCCCAAGGACACTCGCAGTGGGGCACAGTTCCCCCCAAGGACACTCGCAGTGGGGCACAGTTCCCCCAAATGGCAACAGCAATGGGGCACAGTTCCCCCCAAGAACAGTAGTAGTGGGGCACAATTCCCCCCCCCAATTGCACCAGCACTGGGGCACGGTTATCCCCAGTGGCACCAGGTAATGGGGCACGGTTCTCCCCAATGGCACCAGTAATGGGGCACGGTTCTCCCCAGTGGCACCAGCAATGGGGCACGGTTCCCCCCCAGTGGCACCAGCAATGGGGCACGGTTCCCCCAATGGCACCAGCAATGGGGCACGGTTCTCCCCCCAGTGGCACCAGCAATGGGGCACGGTTCTCCCCCCAGTGGCACCAGCAATGGGGCACGGTTCTCCCCCCCCCCAATGGCACCAGCAATGGGGCACGGTTCTCCCCCCCCAATGGCACCAGCAATGGGGCACGGTTCTCCCCCCCCAATGGCACCAGCAATGGGGCACGGTTCTCCCCCCCCAATGGCACCAGCAATGGGGCACGGTTCTCCCCCCCAATGGCACCAGCAATGGGGCACGGTTCTCCCCCCCAATGGCACCAGCAGTGGGGCACAACTCCCCCCAATGGCACCAGCAATGGGGCAGAATTCGCCCCAATGGCACCAATGGTGGGGCACAAGTCTCCATTCTTTATTTTGTTGTGAAAATTACTTTGGCCCCCATCTTCACTAAACATTTAGGCAGGAGGGTGTGCTTAACTGAGAGAGCCCCTCCTCCAGATGAAAGGAAAAAAAAATGCAATGAGGACTCCTGAGATAACTTACATCATTTTGGCCTAGGCCAGAAACCAGGAAGCAACTGAAGACATGTAAAAAAAAAGAAAAAAAAAGGTTAAAACAAGGGAATATAATAAGTAGAAGGATTACAAATAATGTTGACTGAGTTTTTAGTTTTTTTCTTTAAAACACATTGAAGTTAAACGTATAAATATATGAAATAACCTGGGATCAGAGTGGATGGTGATTGTGTGTAACAGATGCATAGAGTGCGCCGTGTAGGAGGGAGGTCTCTAGTTATAGAAGAGGTAAAGGACCACTGTAATAGAATACTGCATTATAACTGTATGTAGGTAAATCTCCGAAGCTTCATCTTGTTTTACAGTCAGACTGCATAACAAGTATAGAATATGGTACTCCTTTTCTTTTTCTAGTTTTTTGCATTGGATGTGTGTTTACTACTGTAATAACTCCCAGTGTGGGCAGCACCCCAGAGAGCCGGACCGCTGCTCTCACACAAAGCCTAGTGGTCTGGATCTCCAGCAGACCAACACAGCACATTGCTCCTATCGGCAAAGCTCAGGCTCCCTGGTCAGCGTTTGTTGATTGGAACACTGTAGAGGGAAGTCGAATTGCTGGAGATCTGGACTGTGTAGCTGTGTGTGAGAGAAGTGGTCTGCCTCTCCTGTATGCTGCTGACAGAACACGTTATAGTAGTAAAGCCTCACATGTTGGGGGGGAATCGAGTGTCATATTCCTAAGGCCTCGGGTAATTAGGGCCATACACTGCTCAAATCATATTTCTGTGATGGGTACAGACGGCAAACCTATACAAATTCTCAACAGGGTGACCCTGTTCATGGCTGTCTGCAACTGTTCCCCCTGGCTTCTTCAATTTTTCAATTGAGGGATGTTGAGCGGGAGGTGACCAATGAGGCCACCCACTGATTGCGTTTTTGGAGGGCTTCTGGTGGACTGGCCAAAATTCGATCAGTGTACCTGGAGGAAACCCCTGCAAGTACAGCGACGTCACGCAAATCCTATGAGGTTTTACATATGAAGCAGGCAGTATTTATTTTCTGTTCACGGTTCGGGGGGCTGTGATAGACCTTCAGTAAGCTTGTGTTCCTCTGTATATATATAATTGCTGGCTGGTAGTCTGGGTAGTCGGACATGGCAGCGCATTCCTGCAGACCAGCACATAATCCCTCCATTTAATCAGCCGCTCCTTTTATTCCTTTCTCTTTTATTACGGGATGTCTGAACACACTGTTCCGGCTCATTCCCAGCAAACCTTGAGCTCTGGACAGGCTGCTCTTCTGTGGAATTAAATCTTATTATTGTTACTTTAACCTTTTATTATGTTAAAAGGGAACTATAGACCTTTTATGTTCTAATGGGGCCTGCTTACAGTGACTCCTACTTCTCACCCCAGTCGCCTGTTTGAGTCCCATTGAAGAACTCTGCACTTAGATATTTTAGGTACTTGTAACACCCTCCCATCTTTCTGGCTACCCTGTTCCTGAGTAGCCAATCGCGAATGCCCTAGAACTTTCACGTGGGGCTCTGGGGGGTCACTGCTGGTTGTTTAGTTCAGGGCAGGGTGTCACTTGTAGAAAGTACCGATCCAGGTGGTGAGGGAGCAGAGACCAGGAAGGATCAGACACCTACCAGCCTGTTATTTTTTTCCTGTTTTTTTACTACGTAATCCATGGTCCATTGATCCGATTGCCTCTCGGGGGATCAGGAAAGATTTTTTTTCCCTGCAGGAGCAAATTGAATCATGCTTTGCTGGGTTTTTTTTGCCTTCCTCTGGATCAACTGTGGATGTAGGATTATAACTTTTTTTTTTTCTTTTTTTTAATGGTTGAACTGGATGGACTTTTGTCTTTTTTTTCAGCCAGACTAATTATGTAACTATATAATCATTTTATTCTAAGCAGTCTTCTCAATGTGTGGTAGCAGAATTGTACTACACCAAGTAAACACATCCGATCCGTTTATTTTAACCTTTTGCCGCCAATGTACAGCAAGTTTGCAGTGGCAAAGAAGGTGGGCTTTAATGCCCATACACCACACATACGCGTCCATGGATGGTGGTGATTCTGTGTTGACAGTGCGCTCGCTGCATGCTCCCACACAGTAACAAGACAGCTCCCGGTCTCTACTAATGATTGAGAGCTAGCGGGGCCATCTCCCAATCATGTGACCACTGTGACAGCCAAACATGATTGGGAGGACCTTCCCGCCCCACAGGCATAATTGCCTAGTTAAGGGGATTCAAGGGCTGGATGGGAAGTGGTTAAAAAAAGGGACGGTGTAAGTCAGGGGTGTCCAAACTACGGCCCTCCAGGTGTTGAGGAACTGCAAGTCCAATAAGGCCTAGCAAGATTCTGACATCCACAGGCAAGACACCCAGAGGCATGATGGGACTTGTAGTACTTCAACAGCTGGAGAGCCATAGTTTGGAGACCCCTGGTGTAGGTGATGCGCTGGACTCATTCATTCAGCTTATTTGCTTCAATTCAGGTACCCTTCACAAAAACGTTGGACCCCCGAAGTCAAACGGGTCACTCATATTGAGAAATCCTTGTGTAAGTTAGTTGGAAAGGGCACAAGAGTCCAAAAGTTCTTTATTAATAACACAGGTACGAGAGGCAGTCAGTGCGTTTCCAGGACCAAAGATCTGCCATCATCTAGGCTTAGACAACATAGCATCTGTTGGACACCGAACTCTGACAGGCGTGGAAGTGCCTGTATTCCCAGATGATGGGTTCATGG